AAGTGTGTGTGAAACATTGCAATAGATGTAAAGCCTGTACCTTGATTTTTCTTAGTTGCGGGGGGCTGCAGGGAATGTCATAGTTCTGCAGCCAACGAAGACGGCTATGACATTCTGTGATATCGATCCGGGACGCTGGATCGACGTACCTGCATCAATTTTCATGTCAAATTTCTGTGATGGGCAGTGGCTAACCCAAGAACCACCTCGCTGTTTTTCAACAAACATGTCACAGAGGTTTCAATCTCTTTTTTCATTCTTGCACAGTTGGCGCAATCTGAGACTGCGGTAAACTTCATGTCTAATTTATTTTCCGATATCTGAAATCAAGCTTCACTTAGGCTTTGGCAACTTACACTGGCTATGGCGATGGTAACTCCGACAACTTATTTGGCATCTAGTTAGAACTCGAAAGAGAAGGGTCAGCTCCCAACCCCAATTTCTTCTCTGATCAGGATTTAATGGAATGTGTGTTGCACGTCCGATGCATTCCACATCACAATTCGATAAGACAAGTCTGAGCAAGTGTGTGACTCATGTCGGATTCGGCAGGATGACATGAGTCCTTCGGGGAATACCTTTCTAGGTAGGAAATGGGAACCGCCGATCTAACTCTGAATTTACCATTTTCAACCTGGGAATTCGTCCAAGTAAAGTGGAACAGTTGACCTTTTTTACTCTTCACCCTGTCGTTTGTCGTTGGTTGAACAACTGGCCGCAGTACCGGGCTTCACCTTCTTTCGCTTTTCACCCTGTCGTTTGTCGCTGGTTGAACAACTGGCCGCAGTACCGGGCTTCAATTCCTTTTGTCAGCCGTGTAAAGTGTAAACCTCCCTTTTCTTCGACGTTGCTCGAGAGACAGACTGCTGTCATGGCAACATGTTGACGGTCTCAGGCAGGTAATTACATGCCTTCAAGTATGATGACTTTTTTCCTTTTCATTTTTTGGTCCTTTGTGATGTTCAAGTGTGCACCTAATTCAGCTGGGGATTGCTGACAGCCATTCATAGGGTTGAAATGATTACCCAGGGCCTTGAGCCTTATCACGATCCTTGCATGAGCATGTGGATGCATCATTTTCATTAACTAGTTCCCCATTGGTCCCCTATCTCATGCATGCTCCCTCTCTAGGTCAGGTTTGGCTCCTTCGCGTGCCGAGGTAGGTTTGGCTCTCGCCTTGTAGGTTGTGTCAGGCACTTCCGTCCTCCCCCTCCTCTGGTCGGTGTTTGGCCTGTCGTCGGTCCGCTCGCGCTTTTCCCTTGCCTTTTCAGGGTTTGGCCGCTCTGGGCTAGGCGTGTTGGTGTTGGTGTTTTTCCTTTTTGCCTTTCCCCTTTTACGTTCCCCGTCTCGTGTCCCGGTTAAGTAGTTTGTTATCTCATCTCCATCTCCCTTTCTTCTCCACCTTCATCTCATTTGTCGGAGCCTGAAATGCCCCGCTGCTGCGTGGCGTGTGTGTGTGTGAAACATTGCAATAGATGTAAAACCTGTACCTTGATTTTTCTTAGTTGCGGGGGGCTGCAGGGAATGTCATAGTTCTGCAGCCAACGAAGACGGCTATGACATTCTGTGATATCGATCCGGGACGCTGGATCGACGTACCTGCATCAATTTTCATGTCAAATTTCTGTGATGGGCAGTGGCTAAACCAAGAACCACCTCGCTGTTTTTCAACAAACATGTCACAGAGGTTTCAATCTCTTTTTTCATTCTCGCACAGTTGGCGCAATCTGAGACTGCGGTAAACTTCATGTCTAATTTATTTTCCGATATCTGAAATCAAGCTTCACTTAGGCTTTGGCAACTTACACTGGCTATGGCGATGGTAACCCTGACAACTTATTTGGCATCTATTTAGAACTCGAAAGGCAAAGGTCGGTGCAAGCAGCCCATCCATTCTTGCACCAATGAAGACACTGGATGTGTGCTGGTGAAATCACTTTGGGGTGTCGAGCTGACGTACCTGCGAAGAAACCGTTGATTTCAAGTACTAGAGCCTCTTGATGGTATGCAAGATTTCTGGGTCTAAGACCCTTCAAGCTTTGCGCTGATGTGGCAGTGAGCAGCAGCGCGATCCTCGAAACTGTTAATCTGACAGATGTCTTGGATAACTGATCTGTCCAGGTAAACCAGTCAAGGGAGACCCGTGGGATGAGATCCAAACATCAGCAACATTGACAAAAGATAGCAGTGATGCATAAGTCCAGAGCTTGAAACTTGTCTGTGCTGACTGTTCAAGTGTGTAAGTGTGTGTGTATGTGTATGTATGTATGTGTCTGTGTACCACCTGTATTATAGATGTAAAACTTCCTAATTAATATGCAGGGGAGTTTGCGGAGCGTGTGGCACTCATGTCCTACCACACGCAACGAAGCTGTGGACATGAGTGGGAAGGGAAAGGTGGCCGGTTTCCTGTACCTGCAGCTTAATGTAAATATAAGTCCCGCCCCTCGGCGCATATAAGTCGCAGCTGAGGGGGACTTATATTTTATCGCTGTTGTTTTATATGGTCAACGTCTACTGTGATCTTTATTATATATATATATTACGTATGTAGTTTCATTATATCATTTGATTGCTGGTGTCTTTGCACGTAAGATGCATTCCACAACAAAAATTCGCAATGACAGTTCTGATCAAGTGTGTGACTCATGCTGGATTCGTCATGGTGGCATGAACCCTTCGGGGAATACCTTGTGTGTGTGTGTGCACCGTTATAGCAAACGGTTCAATTTTTGTCCATCGTGCATGTGTAATCTTGATGAAACAGGGGGACCATCCATGTGCTGTGTGCGATGGTCCAACGAAGCGGCCACAGTACATGCGGATATCACGGCTGATCACCGTGACGTATCTGCCTTCGATTGAAATGTATTAAACGGTTGAACAAGCTGTTCTAGTCAGGCTGTTTAGGTACTTCTCGACAGTTTGAAATTTTGATTTTCCAGAAGTCACCGCTTCGAATGTGACGTTCTCAACCTGCTTGCGATGACAGGTAACTCAGGACATTAGGCGACGACGGTGACATCCTTCACAATTTCCACTCACCATTACCCCACTGTGTGTCATGGGTGTTGGACCTGACTTGGTCGCACCGTCGGTTGGTTTCGACCAATCAGAAAGTCATGAGAGGGCATTTTCCCGTATTCAGAGTGGAGACTGAATCTCCGAAGCTGTATGCACCCAGAGTGCATTTCAAGTGTCATATGACGAAGTCAAGATTTTACACAGTAAAATCAAATCGAAGCAGCCATAAGGCGAAGAAGCCATAAGGCAGAAGTTCGTCCAATTCGGACAAAGAAGACATAAGTCGAAGTTCCAAACACTACGAGTGCAGCGAACCTTCTATGTGGTCGGAGTCTCAATGGCATTGTCACTACTTTCTCACTTCACTCGTCATCGTCATTAGGTTCTTTTTAGGCCATGTATTCATTCTCTTAGGCAGGCTCCTTAGGTCAGATTCACTAGGTCAAAAACTAGGTGCTTTGCAGCTTGCCCCATTACGTATTTTCGGGGTCATTGGCGACTTCAGAGCAAGCAGTTTCGAGAATTCAAACTGTCTCATTTTCGGGATTTGGTAAAAAAAAAATACTTCAGAACTCATTCTTCCACGTCGGGACCCAAGTTTTTCGTCTCTTTGGTGTCAGGATGCAAGAGATATAGAACATGGTCTAATGTTTTGTCTCTCACATCACTACTCATTGTCATCAGGTTCTTTTCAGGCCAGCTATTCTTTTTTTAAGGTAGGCTCCTTAGGTTAGATTTGTTAGGTACAAATTGGTGATCCGTGGTATGCCCCATATCGGGGCCATTGTGTGTGTGTGTGCGTGTACACCGTTATAGCAAACGGTTCAAGTTTTGTCCATCGTGCATGTGTAATCTTGATGAAACAGGGGGACCATCCATGTGCTGTGTGCGATGGTCCAACGAAGCGGCCACAGTACATGCGGATATCACGGCTGATCACCGTGACGTATCTGCCTTCGATTGAAATGTATTAAACGGTTGAACAAGCTGTTCTAGTCAGGCTGTTTAGGTACTTTTCGACAGTTTGAAATTTTGATTTCCCAGAAGTCACCGCTTCGAATGTGACGTTCTCAACCTGCTTGCGATGACAGGTAACTCAGGACATTAGGCGACGACGGTGACATCCTTCACAATTTCCACTCACCATTACCCCACTGTCTGTGTTTGTGTGTGTGTGTGTGGTTGTCAATGGTTCCAGCCCAATGAAGAGGTTGCATTTGACATTCATATCCGGTGTGCATGCGAACCAAATTGGACAACATGTTTTTTCAGCTGTGCAGTGTTTCTGCATTGTAGTGAGATGCGAGTCCAATTCGGAGTTCTAATTCAGTTCTTGATCAGAACGCCACCATCAGTTGTATGTGTGCATGCCAACTACCCTACATTCTGGATGACCTAGATCAGGAGTTCCTAAGGAGTGTACAAGGAAGCAAAAATTGGTCCAGTTACCCCCAAACTGCTGCTGTGTGTGTCTGTGTGCCTTTGGGGTCACTGCAATCCGCAAAGCATGTTTTTCTTTGTTTTTTTGACAACTGCGCAGCTTCTATAAGTATACACGCGTGGAACACTTAGGACACTGTAGGTTATCCAGTGCGAATGCATATTACGTTTTTCAAGGTGATAAGAGAATGGAGGGGATTCACTACCATGCCAAAGTCTTGCACGATTTTGCAATACCTTGTCAGTTCCGAAATGTGCGATCTGCAGTGCTCAAAATGTCTTCATGATACTGCAAGACGCTGCATAATTCAATTTTGTTCTTGGGCTGCATTCGACCCAAGGGCATTGCCAAAAGGGTTTGTCAGCCAGTCCTTTTTTTCTCACCGTTTGTGTTTTTGAACAAGTGATTGCAAACTATTCTTGCATTTTTTTCGTAAGGTGAGGCCCAGGTTATTTTAATGACACCCCTTTGTACGTTGTTTCAACCTTGTTCTGTCATTGCTTGCACCCCAGTGGAGTAGACAGCACCTGCTGCCATGCGTATTGACACAGCAACGGCGCAGTTTCCCAGCAGCTCAGGGATGACATGTGCATAGCATGTAGAAGCAGCTGTGGCAGTACCAGATGAAGTTAACACAAACATATTAGCACTGGTGCAGGCAAGTCTTGGGCAGGACTTAGCATGGCTACTTGATTCCCTTCGGCGAAACTCGCCCAGGGCCATTAGGTTGTGATGTTGATGTGTGATCCCAACCGCTAAAAACTCTGGAGTTTTGAGCACTTGAGGGTGATTACGAGGTTCTACATTTCAATATGGTTACCTGACATGAAATGACACCTGTATTCGTTTGCGCCGGCATTGTGCAGCTCGAGGCTTGTTGGCGCCGGCGGCGGTTGCCCAGTGTTTGGGAAATGGCACTCATCCGTCGCTGCGCAAAAACCTTGCTACTTAGATGCTCCAGAATATGTTCGGCCGGTGGATTTTGGGCAGGGTTGCTTTCTATCCTGTTTCAAGATGTTTCAAGCGGGCCCCAAGATTTCCGGCGCATCTTAACCCTCCCTTGTCTAGGAGCCTGGCAAAATGATTAGTTGTGAATGTTTGCTACCCAAGACAAACACCCTCAAAGTCAAAGCGCCGAAATGCAAACACTTTGAGTTTTCACATCCATGACCATATTGGGTTGGGTGTATAGCAGATCCCAACTTCCAGCTGACAAGATGATCCAATAAATCGCATCATCCCGATTTTTCTGGCAAAAAGTGGCCGTAACGCCAGCATGATTGGATTTAGACCCATCATGGCGCATAAGCTTGGGGCTTTGCCTGTGTTCTGCATTGTTGTGACCAGGGTTAGACACTTGGCCAATATCTTCAACCCAAGCTCCACAGCTCCACCGAAGGTGAATCCCGAGACTGGCGAGTCCTATCCTCTGCTACTGGGACAGGAAATGACAGGAACGTTTGGATCAGCGGATTTCAGTGCAGTATCCGCTTGATGCTGGAGATGTTTTCTTTTTTCTATTTTTATTTTAACTATGGGTGTCGCTAGACCTTCTCGACGGGGGCATGGAAAGCACGGAAAACATGGAAGCGAAACGGATTGTAAGGCAACACTATAGGCACCTTTTCTGATCTTTTCTAAGTCAAAAGTGGAGCAAGCCCAGTTGCCCGTGTTGGGATCAACTAGGTTCTGATCTACTCTTGACTTGCGAACACCATCCACCTCACTTGACATATCCATCATATCCATGTCATATCCTGATATGGTGTTCCACATTGATTTGGTTGCTGCATGTTGCTGCCATGGTTTCTACTGTCAACCAGCTGGGAGCATTTAAGGGGCATCACGGTTCCAGCATGGGCTGCTTCCTACGCCACAAGCTACATGGCTGGCATCTTGATCCAGGCTGGCAATAGCTTTGTAGAAGGCCTGCTCTGTGGCAGGTGGGATGAGGTAAACAAGCATTAAGAATGTTCTTGAACTGTACGACGGATGTGCTCAGTGTGGAAGTAGAAGGTATTCCTACTGCGAAACTGGATGTCTCACGCCCAGCAGTTGGCGCAGAGTGAAGTTGCGAGCGCATCAAACTGATGCTTCGCAAGCCCAAACCGTTGCCCAGAAGCATTTCATGCTGCAGTCTGCCATGGCAGGACCTGCTGGGCATCAATGTCACGTACAGCATCGTCACCGGGCAGGTTGAAGCGTTTTTCTCGGTGGCGGGCTGCTTGACCCCGAACAATTCTTCTGACCGGGGCTGTGGCCCTGAAGGGCCAAGTGTGGCTTGGATATTGAGCAACGATCGCCAGGGATTGTGTCCTTCTTTTTGGTTCGGTGTGATCCTGCAGGGCTTTAGTTCCGTGAGTAGGATCTTTGTTGCAATTTAGGTGGCTAGTGTCAGGCAAATGTGTATCTACATGTCAGCACGCCAGTACGCGCATAATTGCCAAACAGCTTCAACGCCTATTGTGGGAGTGGGTATGACTTGATGTGTCTTTGTGGGTTCGCTCTTGGATTGGTCAGTGGATTGGTTGATTGATTGGCTGGTTGGTTTGTTTATTCACTGGCTGGTTGGCTGAATGATGGTCGGAGATGGCCTGGTTCGCCGAGTGCGCCCTACTGGTGCAAGTATCCTAAAATGCGACCGTGTAGTGTCACTACATCGGGCCGCGGTGAGCGCAAAATTGTTCATACTTTTGAGGGTTTGCATTTCTGTATGCTTGTGAACACACACACACAGACGCAGACGCAGGCGCAAGCGCAAACGTATACACGCACACACAGATATAATCATATATATCGTAGTACTGCGCATAATATACATCGCAATACGTTTTTACATTTTATACATTTCTAAGGGCCTATGCCTTGCAAGGGAAGGTGGAAAAGGAGGGGGCGTTGTTGTTAGTTGTTGGGGCCATGTTGAGGCCATGCTGGCTTCCTTCGAAGGAATGGCCCAAAACAGCCAAAATGTCTTGTAAAACATAGGGTATTCTATCACACGTGGGTACGGCGAAGATGTGTTCAAGCCATGGTGGACCAGTTTTTTCAAGATCACCGTTGCTGAAAGCAACGGATGCTATATATATATAAATATATATATATATATATACTGTATATTTTTTTTTTCGCGACATACGGCCTTTGTGTGTGGGGGCAACCCCTGTTCCGAAGGGCTTTCATCACATGTCCAATTTTTAGTTTCAGTTCCCAATTTACAAGCAGGGGCACACGGCATCCTTGACCCACCGTGTGCAACGAAGCTACGGTCTTGGATGGGATATCAGGGCTGATCACCCTGACGTACCTGCAGTTTGTCACGATGTTCCTTCATTATCCAAGCTTTTTGATGACTTTCAGGTTATTATTTTGTCATATGCATGAATAATTCGAGAAATCGGAGTCCGTTACGCATTTTTCAGTATTTACCCACATCTGCGACTTTTGTCCAATGTGGACAAAGACGGCCTTCCTGAACTATGCATGTAAACAGCATAAACAGTTCAGGTACCATTTCGGGAATGAAAAGACTCATAGACGAGATGCGGTCTTTCAAGTGTGTGCACGTGCAAGAGAAGATGCTGTGACGTAGCATCCAGTGTGTGTGTGTGTGTCTGTGCAAGTGCAAGAAAAGATCTACTCTGTGTGTATGTGTCTGTGTGCATGTAGACAGGAATGTTCTCGCTGCCCACCCACCACCCCAATCCTCCACCCCCCACCCCACAATACAAATGTGACAACAGTCTGGCACAACAAGAGGCTCCGTCACCAAAAACAAGACGTACATACCAGTACGAAAGCCAGCCAAAGGCTAGGCTAAAGTTGTCCAATGCGAACGAAGTGGGATTAGAGAGCCCGGGGGGTAGTGCCTGATGAGCGTGTAAAAATTTCGTAAATAGATGTAAATAGGTGGTGATGAGGGTGTGCCCTTTGGTCGTTTTTGCGTGTCATGGTGCATGGGTGACGGCGGGGTATCAATTCCCCCCTGGCCCGCATTCAAAGAGTATATGGGTGAAAAGTATATGGGTATATGGGTGAAAAGTCTATAGGTGAAAAGTCGGTGGGTGAAAAGTATATGGGTGAAAAGTCTGTGGGTGAAAAGTACGTATATATATATATATACACACACTTGTTTTACGTATGTTATAATTAAAAACTTAGCATCTTAAAAAGGTGCCTTTTTGTGCCACTCTGACGTATGGCCAGCTGTTATGTTAGGAACTATGTTGTAAGTGACGTTCGGGAACGGAACATGTCTTTTCAATAAAATTGCTGCTGTTGTAGAAGAAATATATAGCATCAATGTTCTTCGTGTTATGTATTTATGGTAACAGTTTGTTGTTTCTCGTAGTTGTTGTTGTCGTGGTGATTTCTAGTCAGTTACTGACCCATCGGCTCACCAACCCATGTTTTTTTGAGCGAATGCTCGATATAACCATCAAAGACTATTGTTTTTACACCATTTACAAAGTGTTTATTCAACTATACTTGTAGCATTTCTCTTTCACCAGCTCAAAATACGTACCTCCCTGACAGGAAAACACCATGGCAGTGAAGGGCGGAACTGTTCTGACTTCTGCTCAACTTTCCACTTCACCAATCCATCCATCGGCTTTTTGCCGTCACTGGCTGATATTGCCTTCAGACAGTATTTGTCTTTCACCCACCATTTTCGGCAACCCTCTTTTTTCACTTCCAAAAACATACCTCCCGGACAAGAAAGCACCATGGCAGCCTAAGTGGCAGTCGACGAGGCCTAACGTCCCTTCTGAATTCTAGCGAAAAGATTACCTACTGGCTCACCAATTCACCGGCTTTTGCCATCAACCCATGATTGGTATTGAACCAGTATCTGCTTTACACCTGCCATATTCTCGGCATTTTTCGGCCGTTTTCTCTCACCGGGTCAACAACCGCAATCTCTTGGACAGAAACGTTGCTTGTCATTACTTGTTGTTTTTTTTGGTTGTTGTTGCCAAAGAAACTCTTACTCCCTGGCGTGTCCCCCTTGCTGTCAGCCGGGGTCGGCGGATAGTATATAACTAACATATCGCATCCTGCTGTAAATATTTCAAAAGCAACAACATATGATTGCCGAAACAGGTTTACCTGTATGGGGTTCTTACTTAGTTGAAACGGTTTCATGCCTGGGCCGCATAATTTTGTTTGCGTCTCTGCGTGCAGACTGCAAAAACGGGAGGCGTTTGTTACGCTGAATCCCAGGTCACATACCAACATTTGCAGATGGAAACATGGTATGGGAACTATCCTGCGGTCTGGGCGCAAACTCAGACGTTCGCAACTCCGCCAAAACTCTTGGGCAGCATGGGAAGCTTGTCGCTGAGTGCGAGGATCAGAATTTGATATGTTTATTCCCCACAACTTTGTGTGGGGTTCTTGTTTTTGATCCTGTATCCCGGGTCTCCTCCTCCTCCTCCCGCCGCCTGCCTCCACCTCCACACATGTCACATACCATAAAACTTCACACACACAAACTTAACATACAATAACTTCACACACACTCACACACACACAACTTTGTCACATACCATCTCTCACATACAATAACTACCTGAACATGTCACATACCATAACTTCACACACACAAATTTAACATACAATAACTTCACACACACTCACACACACACAACTTTGTCACATACCATTTCTCACATACAATAACTTCACACACACACAAACTTAACATACAATAACTTCACACACACTCACACACACAGCGCTGACGCCGCGGCTGTTTGCGTGGCAGGCGTGGCACTTGGTGACATCCACCTTCGTTTCACTTGGCAGGTGTGGCACAAACTCACATCCACCTTCGTTTTGCGTGGCAGGCGTGGCACTTATGGCATTGGGTGGCGCGCTTGGTCCGGATTTGTCGCCTGTGACGCCGCGGCTGTTCGCGTGGCAGGCGTGGCACTTGGTGACATCCACCTTCGTTTCACGTGGCAGGTGTGGCACAAACTCACATCCACTTTCGTTTTGCGTGGCAGGCGTGGCACTTATGGCATTGGGTGGCGCGCTTGGTCCGGATTTGTCGCCCGTGACGCCGCGGCTGTTCGCGTGGCAGGCGTGGTACTTGGTGACATCCACCTTCATTTCTCGTGGCCGGTGTGGCACAAACTCACATCCACCGTCGTTTTGCGTGGCAGGCGTGGCACTTATGGCATGGGGTGGCGCGCTTGGTCCGGATTTGTCGCCCGTGACGCCGCGGCTGTTTGCGTGGCAGGCGTGGTACTTGGTGACATCCACCTTCATTTCACGTGGCAGGCGTGGCACAAACGTTCATTTCGCGTGGCTGCCGTGGCACAAACTCACATCCACATGCATGTTTCCTTTGCTGCGTCTCCGGCCTGTTTTGGTTTCAAATGCATCTTTCGTTTGCTGCGTCTCCGGAGTCTCCGGCCTGTTTCGTTTCGCATGGCAGGCGTGGCACTCATGGCACTCAGTGGCGCGCTTGGACTTGGTTTAGTCGCCCGTGACGCCCGTGACGCCGCGGCACTTTGCGTGGCGGGCGTGGCACAATCTCACATCCACCTTCGTTTTGCGTGGCAGGCGTGGCACAATCTCACATCCACGTTCGTTTTTGCGTGGCAGGCATGGGACAATCTCACATGCATACTATCTTTTCACATACCTTCTTGCTTTGTCACACACCGTCTTTCACATTCCACTTTGTCACACACAACTGTTTTAAAACTTCTCGATCCTTCACCACCTCCTTTGTCTTTCCTTCCTTCCCCGTCCCCGCTACAACCTTTGAAGCTCATTATTGGACGAAGTTGACTTGTGGGGTTATCCGGTCCTTTAATTTTCGCCGTTTTTTCTACATCTGCACGAACACCATCCAACGCTAGATGCGAATGGCCCCAAAATCTGAATAAACACAATTCGGTTTCATTGCCTGGCACAAACCCCCCCATCCTGTGCCATCTTTCCAGTCCTCCCTGGACCTCTGCGGCGGGCTTCAGGATACGAAGGTACTGAAGATATGTACTTCAGTAGCAGGGAACTGAATGCAGCCTACGAGGCCGAAGGTCTGGCCTTGGACTATTGGACTGGTTGCTTGGCCCATTTTCTTGTAGCACCTGCATTTTGCATGTTTTGCACCGTGTGGGTGTTTGTGATTTTGCACACTTTTTCGGTATGTTTCGGTCTACTGCAATTTGATCTGTCATGGTCCTGCCTTCAAGGCTTTGATGCTACATGGAAGCAGCCAGGGAAACTTGGCAAACCGGCACGCCATGCATTTGGGGTTCAATCAGTCGAAAAAAATGAAAATCACCGCAAACCATTGTTCATTGTCATGGGACTGAGGCTTTACTTCGACCAGCCGAGTGCAGTGAACAGGTCTATGTTGAAGCCTTGCGCCGACACCAACTTGTACAACGATCTGATGATGTCAGCGTACCTGAGTGCCTCGGGCGACACTGATGGAGTTGTGGTTCAACCCGATGGAAAAGTGGTAGGAAAATGCCCCGGTGATGGCTACTTCTGGCTCTCTCCTTCATGCCGCAGCGACCCCACGAAATGCGTCCTGTATATCACTGGTGGAGGCGGCTATGGTTTGAGCGGTGTGTTGCAGAGGGCAACGAGGTGGAATATTCCATTAGCCTTCGGAGTTGGTGCGACTTGGGGTGATTTCGTGAGTGTGGCCAACACGAAAAAGAGCATGTTCTATTGGCGTCTCGACGGATGACTTGGATGGTTTTGTTTTAAGTTTTATCATTCCCAAGCACTAAGATCGCCAAGCACTACGGACATTCAACTGGTGGCTGTCAACTAATTCCAACAGGCTCTCATGACCCCTACATGTGGGGGTACTGGGTCACTAGGTCCCATTTCTCATTGAGACTGGAACGCTGGAAGCAGTGCGCACTTTCTTTTTTAAACATTGTTCAACCTACTCGTGCCATTTTTTGTTAGAATCAATCGGCGCAGCTTTCATTTACAGTAATGAGAAGACAACATTCTGCCAAGGTCAGAATTTAAAGTCCAGCAGTGAAACACTCAGAATTCTTTGGGTAAGACCGAGAGTAAAGGAAAGGGAACAAGTTCCGCACCAAGTGGTCTCACGCATTTTTCCGATTTTTTCTGCATGTCAAGGTGGACCCCAGATCCTACCTTCTTGGAGATGTCTCCTGTGATGACTAAATTTCCAGCTCACGACAAGCAAGCGTGGGAACAAGGTGACATTTCAACAGCAGCCCTTGGTGTGTTCATTGGTAAGATCGTGAGCCACGACTTGAGCGCTCTAGCCCCACGGCTTGTTGGCTTTCTGGATAACATCCAGATCGACATGGACACGATCAACGCGATGATGCTGGACCAGAAGACATCAGGTAGCTGTGTGATTCACAAACTGTTGTCCACGGGGGGTTCTGCAAACACACGTTCGATGCCAGCGAAGGTTTCATGTATAGCCTGTACAGCGGTATCACACCACCATTTAGAGGGTGGATGCCAGGCGAAGAATGGGAGCCTGTGATGTGCCGCTGGCTGCAGAACAATCCGCAGATCTGGCAACTTGTCATCACAATAGACTAGCTGTGACTAGCCTAATTGTTCAAATTGACATGACTTGTTTCTTGAGGCATGACAAGGCCGACAGGGACTAAAATGGAGACAGGAAAGATAATATGGCCACCAGCCACCCCTCCCCAGTGATTCTTCGAAATTGAAGTCTCGCTACCTATAGTTACTGCATGGTAGTGATTTCTGCTGTGCCAGAATGCGTCTTCAGCTTGAACGCGAGGTCGAGCTGGATGCCTGATGACAGCACCTGTTTCCCAAAGTTCGGTATGTTCAACGAGATCACTGAGCAGTTTGTGTCCAATCGAGACGACAAAGAGGGTCTCAGGCTGGACGATTGTTTGTGATCAAGTTTGGTTTGGCATGGTTTAGTTCGACCTTCCACACCTTTCACATCCTTGCGCCTTGACCCAGATTAGGTCACATGTCTCAGGAAAACAGTTTGCCTCTTGATTGACCCCTTCCTTGGCGGAAAGCTTTACAGATCAGACGTGGCCAAGCTGTTGTTGTACCAGCACCGTTTCGCAATGTTTGGCCCGAACATGGATTGATAGAATCCCAAACTTGAAAGCAGAACACCATTTACAGAAAGTTAAGTTGCTTTGATCTGTTTCGCTTCTGGAGAAGGGGCTCAGAAGCCCAAGAAAGATAGGCAAAACTTCATTAATCACGCGAGAAAGTCCCAGCAAGAAGGGTTTGAAGTAGCAGCGTTGGCGACCAAAGCTGGGAAACTTTGGAACCAATCTACACGCATCGAGGTTGGGCAATAAAGGCTTGTAGATTCCCTGTCACCAGCAAGATCGAATTTGAAATCACTTCATGAAATGGCATCATTTTAGCCGTCTGCTTGCGTTTGCAGGTGCCGGGCTTGCCCCAGCGGGACGTATTCCAAACAGCTCTCCGATGACGATGGGACAACCTACATTTGTGAGGCCTGTCCTGCAGGCCGGAAGCCATGTTTCGGAACTCAGTGCTACCGAAACTGTGTGCGTTAAGAATACCCAAGCCAGCTTTTCGATTTCCACCGGATCAGGTTTTTCCCGAGGCTGGCAAGAAATTGTTCCGAGGCAAAGTTCTGAACAAAAGTTTTCAGGCAAGGTGCCGAAGCAAAGGGTTCCCAGGCGAGGTTCCCCCCGCAAAATCTGCAAAGTTCCAGGCAAAGCAAGGCTCTGAGGGAAGATGCGAAGGCAAGGTTCTCAAGCAAGGCATGTTTCCGGGATTCAGCCATGTACAGCGAAACCAGATTCTCCCAGGACTCCCCAAAGACAAGGTTCCCACCAGGTTCTTGAACGCAGGCTCCTCAAAGACAACACAAAGTGTCAAAGACAATGTTCCCAACTATTATTTAGAAGTTGATCAAAAATAAGGTGACCAAAAAACAAGATCTTGTAACACAGGGTTCCCTGAGACAACAATGCCAAGAGAGTCTCAGATACTGTGCATATATAGTTTACCAAAGCGAAGCTTCCTAACATAAAGTTTCCAATGCAAAGATTCATTCCTGACACTGCATCAAGGGTCCTGACCCTGGTGTCGCGAAGTTCCCAAAAACAGGGTTGAACCCAAGTACAAGGTGCACAAGAACAAGCTTTACCAAAATAAGGATGTGGACAAGCTTTTCCATGACTAAGGTCCCTCAGAACCAGGTTCCCAAACAACCCTTCCAAACACAAGGTTCCGCAATATGGTTTTGATAGATGAGGGCCTACTTGCAAGGTTCCCTATATAGCCTAGCCAGCATGACATTCCTTAACGAAAGAGTTCCGAGGAAGAACCCTATCACCGGACGTGTATTTATCCATACCTGGTTTCCAAGAATATGGCAAAGAGATGCGACGAGAGGCAGATGTTCCCAAGGACACGATTCTAAGGATTCTAAGGCTTAAGAAACCCAAAGAAATCCAAGAACAAGGTTTCCCTTGCACCTAGTTTCTAAACATAGGGTTCCCAAATAATTACGATACATTTGCATAGGGCTGTGGGCACATAGGACGGGAAGAAGGCATGAAGTGACATTTACAAAGAGAGAAAGCAGAAAACTCCATCACATTGTTCTTCGAAACATACTTGTCAAATCTTGTCAAAAATTGCTCAAGTGTCATAGAGGGGAAAAGATCGAAAAAGGATGCGCGGGACCTTGCGTCAAGAGTCGAGAGCAACGCTATATTAGCCGCTAATAGCGATAGCTTCCTTCCTGACATCTCATGTAGCGCAAAGCACCCACATTGCAAAACTATCCACCTGGAAATTTGCATTCCAAAATGAGGCAACCCCAGTACCCCAAACTGAAGACACATGTTTTATTTAATTGCCTTCGGCAAGCCCGCTGGCCATAGAGAGGTGGCCCCAAGGGAGTTTGATGTGCATTCTAGGTGGAGGCCCGCGAGAGAGCAGAAGAGAAAAGAAGGAGAATAATAAGAATAAGAAGAATAACAAGAATAACAAGAATAAGAAAGGAAGACAAAGACAAGCCGTAAACCGGAAGGGGCTTGTGTAGCAAGGTTTGCTGTAACAACCTATTCTTAGACCGTATGCCAAATTAGTACCGCCCCCAGCAAAGTAGCGCCAGGTACTATGTATGAGCCTCTGTCTTGACAGCAGACCGCTGCATGCAAGGAGATAGGGGAGAGAGATTGCCCCAAGGGAGGTTGACGTGCACGCTGGGTGGAAGCTTGAGAGAAGAAGAGACGAAGACAGAGCCGTAGATCAGAAGCAGCTTGAGTAGCAAGTGCGTGCTTGAACAGCCAATGGAACGCACAGCAAGAGAACAAAGGAACAAGTACAAGCCAAGAACAGAAACAAGATCAGGCAGGCCGGCGGATTTGATATGTTTTATGGATATGTTCTGTTGTATGCAAGAAATTGGCAAAATGCTGGTCTTGGATTCGAAGGTTCGGTTCAAGGCCGACGTTTTGGAGTCGAATCATGGCAAGTTTTGTTTGACACGCCTTTGGTCCACATGGAAAAGGGGAGGAAGCTTGAAGGTACCAGACATTCATTTGGAGAATCAGCGCGCTTCCGCATCCGTAAACAAGGGGCTTTCTCAAATCAATGATTTTCGCAAAAACAGCTTGAAAAGGCTTTCACGTCATAGTTTCTGGTTTGTTGAAAGCCGGAACCATTTCAAACGCTTTTAAGGGCACCACAGTCCAGCATTTTTTTTAACATGTTACAGATCAGATATCCACCGTTAGATTCTCATAAGCATGGTCTCTGAACACAGCAATCCACCTTCCATGAATCAAAGGGGATGGACCATCCTTATTCGAAGGGGGTTGCAATGGTGCAAGGCTCTGTGCCTTATTTGGGACCTTCTTTCGCTTCATTTTGCCACCATCAACATGGATCCTCATCATGCAGGTACAAGCCAACCTTCTGGAGCAACCTTAGCCTGCGAGCCATGTCTGAAGGGCGAGTACCAAGATCTGACTGGTCAGCAAACGTGCAAGCGATGCGATGTGGGTTACTACCAGGACGAAGAAAGAGGCCCCATTTGCAAAAGCGCCTTGGAGACACATTATATACCATTTTTCAATTTTTCACCATTTACAGGGAAATCACAGCCTGCTGTGTCTTTGAAGTTTCAACTTGCCAATGCTTCTCACGGCGTCGCAGAGAAGATCAAACAAGTGCTACAAAAAGTGTACTAGTGGAAAGACTGTCTATAGCGTTGACTTGACAATACCTCTCCCTCCTAGGTGCCCAGACAACAGTCGCACACTTCAGAGGGGCTCGTTGTCCTTCACGGACTGCGGTTGTGAAGTCGGTTACATCAACGTTGCAAATGTCACCGTAGGCCTGTTGGCAAGATGGGAGACTGGAAATGGGTGGGTTGATGCGCAACATGTTACATGATTCTTGTTAGCAAAATCATTCGAATAGTTCGGCACCAGTAATTGAAGGATCGATGATCGGGTCAACGATCAACAATTGTATTGTTTTGCTATTTGCTTTGCAAGCTGCACACGCCATACAAGTCTTCTTCCTTGCGAGATAGCAGTTTGTATTGAGACAGAAGGTCTCCCTGACCTAAAACAAGATAATGATGCCATGGCCACAGGCGCGAGTTAGCACAGGTTGGTCTTGTGAGTCTTTATACGTATTTAGAATTATATATACATACACCATATATTATCAAAATATCAGTATATATATAATATAATATATATATATAATATACATATAATATATAATATATATATATATATAATAATATATATATATAATATATATAATATATAATATAATATATATAAATTTAATATAATATATTATATAATATATATATATATATGCATATATATATATTTGAGCAAGGGTCAGAAGATGCTATGTAGAGATGTTGTATTCGGCCGCCGTCACTTTCAAAAATGTGTGATTTCCTGTGGGGAGCGATAGGGAACCTTGAAGAGCGATACCCCCTTAAGTAGTGCAAATATGATGTCACGGCACTTCCAGCCCCTCATCCACTTCCAGCTCCTCTTCCACCAGCTCCTCCAACCACTACTAGTATACTACTACCACTACCACTACCACTACCACTAATGCTACTGCTACTACTACTACTACTACTGCTACTACTACTACTACTATCATTACTGCTACTATCATTACTGCTACTACTACTATCATATTACTACTACTATCATTACCTCTACTATCATTACTACTACTATCATTACTACTATCACTACTACTACTATCATTACCTCTACTATCATTACTACTACTATCATTACTACTACTATCATTATTACTACTATCATTACTACTACTATCATTACTACTACTATCATTACTACTACTATCATTACTACTACTATCATTACTACTACTGTCATTACTACTACTATCATTACTACTACTACTACAACTACTACTACTATCATTACTGCTACTATCATTACTACTACTATCATTTCTACTACTACTTCTACTTCTACTACTACTACTACTACTATCATTACTACTATCATTACTACTATCATTACTACTATCATTACTACTATCATTACTACTATCATTACTACTATCATTACTACTATCATTACTACTATCATTACTACTATCATTACTACTATCATTACTACTATCATTACTACTATCATTACCACTATCATTACCACTATCATTACCAATATCATTACTACTATCATTACTACTATCATTACTACTATCATTACTACTATCATTACTACTATCATTACTACTATCATTACTACTATCATTACTACTATCATTACTACTATCATTACTACTATCATTACTACTACTACATTACTACTATCATTACTACTATCATTACTACTATCATTACTACTATCATTACTACTATCATTACTACTATCATTACTACTATCATTACTACTATCATTACTACTATCATTACTACTATCATTACTACTATCATTACTACTATCATTACTACTATCATTACTACTACTATCATTATTACTACTATCATTACCACTATCATTACCACTATCATTACCACTATCATTACTACTATCATTACTACTATCATTACTACTATCATTACTACTATCATTACTACTATCATTACTACTATCATTACTACTATCATTACTACTATCATTACTACTATCATTACTACTACTACTACTGCTACTACTACTACTACTACTATCATTACTGCTACTATCATTACTACTACTATCATTACTACTATTATCATTACTACTACTATCATTACCTCTACTATTATTACTACTACTTTCATTACTACTACTATCATTAATCATTACTACTACTATCATTAATCATTACTACTACTATCATTACTACTACTATCATTACTGCTACTACTACGACGACGACTACTACTATATACGAGTACTACGACTAATACGACTACTACGACTACTACGACTACCACGACTACTACGACTACTACGACTACTAGGACTACTACGACTACTACGACTACTACGACTACTACTACGACTATACTACTACGACTACTACGACTACTACGACTTTTACGACTACTACGACTACTATACGACGACTACTACGACTACTACGACTACGACGACGACGACTACTACTACTACTACGACGACTACTACTACGACTACTACTACGACTACTACTATACGACTACTAGTACGACTACGACTACGACTACGACTGCGACTATACAACTACGAGTACGACTACGACGACTACGTTCTCGTAATTCACCTTGGGGCTTTTGATTTCCGAAACGGCCGTTTTGGAAATCAAGTACTCAAACAAATATTGGAAGAGGGCAGTCGGCACCTCTATTTTAGCACACTTTCCTTCGGGGAAATGAGGTTACGTTCTCCTAATTCATCTTGGTGCTTTTGATTTCCAAAACGGCCGTTTTGGAAAGCAAGTACTCAAATAAATATTGGAAGCTGAGATAGCCTAGTGACAGGCCCAAAACAGATCTGAAAATGGTTTGAAACACGTTCCTACTCACCGTCTCAGAGACATTGCCCAAAGTGGCAGTTTTGGGACTCCAGTACTCAAACAAATATTTGAAGAGAGTTGTCGACAGCCTTATTTTATCACACTTTCCTCAGGGGGAAAAAGCTTGCGTTCTCTTAATTTACCTTGGGGCTTTTGATTTCCAAAACGGCCGCTTTGGAAATCAAGTACCAAACAAATATTGGAAGAGGGCAGTCGGCACCTCTATTTTAGCACACTTTAGGGGAAATGAGGTTACGTTCTCCTAATTCATCTTGGTGCTTTTGATTTCCAAAACGGCCGTTTTGGAAAGCAAGTACTCAAATAAATATTGGAAGCGGAGATAGCCTAGTGACAGGCCCAAAAGAGGTCTGAAACTGGTCTGAAACACCTGCGTACTCACCATCTCAGACACATTGCCCACAGTGGCCGTCTTGGGACTCCAGTACTTGAAGAGGGCAGTCGACACCTGGATTTTGTGACACTTTCCTTAGGGGAAAGAAGTTCACCTTGTGACTTTTGATTTCCAAAACGGCCCTTTTGGAAATCAAGTACTCAAACAAATATTGGAAGAGGGCAGTCGGCATCTATTTTTTGAGACTTCCCTTAGGGGAAATAAGCTTACGTTCTCTTAATTCACCTAAGGACTTTTGATTTCCAAAACGGCCGTGTTCAAGTTCAGCTTCTTTTCCGGAAAGAGGGCGCAGCCCGTGAGCGCCCCCAAAAGGGTCTGAAACCGGTCTGAAACCATTCTGAAACACCTTCCGGCTCACCATCTCAGACTCTGTGCTCGTTCGGTTACAGCATCATTGCTTTATATTGCTATTTATTAGCCGGAAAGATGTGTTCTTTCTGTAGTTTGAGCGCCCCCAAAGGGTCTGAAACCGGTCTGGAACTGCCGGTAACTGCTCACCATCTCAGACTCTATGCCTCTTCAGGTACAGCGTCATTGCTTTGGAATTGCAGGAGAAATGTGTAAATTGTGTGACTTGGTTTACTGCACCACTTCGAAACACCTTCCCGCTCACCATCTCAGACTCCACAATCTGTTCTTGCCGAACTGATTCCAGGTCAATTTTTTTAATGCCTGTATTTTTGTGGAACCACGCTCATTAAAAAAATACTTTACTTCGAGTCATCCCCACTATGACATTTATACGTTTTGTTACTGGCAAACCTTCTGGCATTCTATCTGACATATCTTCTGGCATTCTATCTGGCATATCTTCTGGCATTCTACATGGCATAGCTTCTGGCATATGTTCTGGCATTCTATCTGGCATATCTTCTGGCATATCTTCTGACATCCTATCTGGCATTCTATCTGGCAAATTTTCTGGCATTCTATCTGGCAAACATTCTGGCACTTTATCTGGCATACCTTCTGGCATTCTATCTGACATTCTATTTGGCATACCTTCTGGCATTCTATCTGGCATTCTATCTGGCATATCTTCTGGCATATCTTCTGGCATTATATCTGGCATATCTTCTGGCATATGTTCTGGCATATCTTCTGGCACTCTATCTGGCATATCTTCTGGCATATCTTCTGACATTCTATCTGGCTATATCTGGCAAATCTTCTGGCATATGTTCTGGCAAACATTCTGACACTTTATCTGGCATACCTTCTGGCATTCTATCTGACATTCTATCTGGCATACCTTCTGGCATTCTATCTGGCATATCTTCTGGCATTTCTTCTGGCACTCTATCTGGCATATCTTATGGCATTTTATCTGGCATATCTTCTGGCATTCTATCTGACATTCTATCTGGCATATCTTCTGGCATTCTATCTGGCCGTTGGGGTCCAGCGGTGCGCACTGAGCTGGGAAGGTCCCAGGTTGAGGTCCAGCGGTGCGCACTGAGCTGGGAAGGTCCCAGGTTGAGGTCCAGCGGTGCGCATTGAGCTGGGAAGGTCCCAGGTTGAGGTCCAGCAGTGCGCACTGAGCTGGGAAGGTCCCAGGTTGAGGTCCAGCAGTGCGCACTGAGCTGGGAAGTTGGCGAAGAGCTTGGCGAAGAGTTGGCAAGGCGGAAGTGGAGGTGGAAGTTGATGCAGACATGGTCGAGGAGAAACTGGAGGAGGAGGCGGACGAGGAGGAGAAGGAGGAGAAGGAGGAGGACAACAGCTCTGATAAAATCTAACAACCCTCACCTGGCAGGTGGGGAACAATTCCAAAACCTTAAAAGTGACTGAAACGCAGGCCGCGCAAGAGCGCGCAAGGGAGAGGCGCAAGAACTCCTAAATGGAAACAATCTTAAAGGAATAAATAACAAACCCTATATATATATATATGTATATATATATAGATATATATTATCTTTTTATATTTGGTA